TGTTCAAAGTCCTTGTAAAAATTCTTAAATATCAACACTAACCAATCTCTTCCTCCAATCAAACTGACTTACTACGCAAATAAAGAGAGGGTTTTTATTATTATTTATTTAAATAGGTCGATAAAGTTTAATATTATCCTTTTTAAAACCTGCGATGTGTTAGGAGCAAGATCGTTAAAGGGTTAACACTTTATCCCTTTATAATCCGAAGTACTTTATTTTCACTTGACCCTTACCTGATCAACCGAAATGTTCGTGGTTATTTGAACTTTAATATTACCCTTCGATATTGTTACGTGAATATTTTATGTAAATCGATAAAAGAGTGGAAAATGGAAATTCAAAACAGTTCTGTTCAATTTTAACATGATAAATTACTTGGCAGGGAATTTAGAAATTAACCTAAGGATTAAGTAATTTTCATCATTGTTTCTTGATTCAATAGTTGCATACAGCACCATACAAACTTATTTAAGAACACTTGTCGAGGAATATAATGAAAATTGGTAAGATACTTAACAATTGGAATAAAATCGCATGTCGACACTATGTCGACTCTGGTTCACAAATAGTTAACACATTTTCGAGTAAGCTGTCTTTGAGTAGGTGAATTATTCTGAATAATTCAAAAAATATACATAAAAACTACCTATATCCTCGCCCTGTGTGAGCTATAAGGGTGAGCTGGAAAATTGTTTAATATTATAAATATTAAAACTGTAACCACAGAATAAAGTCTTACAAATATCATCACAAAGATATAATACCATTAACCCAAATCCTCGATTCATCTATGCATCTGAAATATTATTAACCCTTTGTGAAATTCTAAATGAAACTCTTAAATACCGAAAAAAAGAAAACCGTGTACTAATCCTATTTGTTTAAATAACCAAATTATTTGTTTGCAATTTTCTACTCTACATATGAGAGTGTGATATCATTAATATATCGACAAAAGATCCTCAAGCGGTTAAAAGGAATATATAGTGTAGTACCAATTTTCATTTTATTATTATTATTATTATTACAATATAATTATCATATAATTATTATAGTATATTATATTTATAAATTTAAAATATTGTTAATAAAATAAGAACTCGACTTAATTGAAAATGATTAAACGTGCAAGCTGATGTTAAAAAAATGAAATCGTGATTAGATAAAAAATGACCCAAAGAATATTCTTTTAACCCTTTACACTCCTCTGTTGAACGTGACTCGATATCGGATTTATTCAAAAGTGTGCTTCGTTTTCGAGACATTTTTAAATTGTATTGTACTATTACACTATTTTCAATGACATTAGTCAAATGAATTGTTTACACTGTTTCCTATCAATTAACTATCTTTCGAAATGCTTTTCGAATAAAGTAATGCAAAATTGTCGAAAGGAAAATGTAAAATGAAGTTGAAGTGTAAAGGGTTAAAATACAATAAAATTCTAACATTCTTCGGATCTTTTTAGAATCAGTAGCGTTTTTATCCTTGCAACATCATCAAATTTATCGTGCTTTTCTATTTGTCCGCCTTTTATTTTGATTAAAAATCAATGCTTTAATTCGAGGAAATTTCAAGCATTTTGTGTATAGTGTACATATGTCTAGTTTTTCAATAGTACTTCCAATGTGTAGATAAACTGAGAACTGCGGCAGGGTTAAGGGTCACGTAATTAGCAAATTAAATATACCGAAATATTGGGGAAACTAAAATTAAAACTTCTAACGCAATTTATGAAATTCGTCGTTTCGGCTTGTATTTTTCTATTTCGTTTAAAAACCTCCCCCAATTATTTTCTTGCTCTTTATATATTTATAAACGTTCGTTTATTTATTCGTGAGGAATATCTGAAATTGAAATTAACGAAGACAAGTAAATCTCAATTCTCTTAAGTCTAAATTAAATATTATATTTCCATTATCAACTGTTACGCTTTAAAGTAAACATTGATATATTGAAGATGGAATTCTCCTTTATTTCTGGTAAATTATTAATGACAAAGTAATCCTTGCTAGTGCAGTGATGAAATAAATCATAGCTTAATGGGTCAGTAAGAAAAATATTATTCAGTTTTGAAACAAGTTTTCAATACACAAGGAGATATTAAAATGAAGGGAGAAAAAACTAAAGGCGCAGTGCCACTCAGAAATAATCTCGTTACTTTATAATTTAATTTCAAGATTTCAGAGTGAAACTTACTATTTAATTCAATCGCTTGACGCTCTGGAAGTGAACGCTTCATCTACAATTCTGTATTCGATTTGTCGATCGAAAGACGCATTTAAATAACATAGAAAACTACTATTATGAACGGCAAGCAATTTGCATGAGAGAAAAAACACGATGAATAATTTGAAAAATCGTATGACCTCACCGGGACACGTCATAATCAAGTTGGCACTAGATGACGCCTTTCGGACATCATTATAGAGCAAAGGATTAAAGTAATATGTTTTGATTTCAATTTTTACAAAGTCACGGAACGCTTTTGATTAAAAAAACATATGCACAATACTAAAATCGTAGACGATAGATATATCGTGAGAACCGCTATTTTAATATATTTTAAATTAATTTTTTCTTCCTTGTTTATAAATTTAACACTCATGTATATAACTTTAAAAATAAAAATAAGTATACACGTATGTTTTACTTAAAGTTATTATATATAACTAACAAATGATTATTCTCAATCCGTCGTATATATACCAGAATATTTTCATGTGATACGAGAAATCATATCGTATTTAATTTAAAAAATTCTTAAACTTAATTATCATAACAAATTGAATTTTAAAAATTCTTAAATTTAACTATCATATCAAATTTAAATTTAAAAATTCTTCATTTGACCATCATCAAATTTAACTTAAATAATTAAATTAGAATCCTATTTATTTGTATTTATTTTTTACTCATAGTTCAGAGCTAGGGGGATATCCTTTTCTACTTGGAGAATATTTTCTAGTTAAAAATATGCCACTGCTTTAAAATATACTATATCCGCAAAAACTATGACTTCGTTAAAACTAATTAAAACTAATTCCATGATATTGCGAAATACTCTATAATAACAAGTGGAAAACATGGTAAAATTTCTCGCTTAAATCAATAACAATCAATATTATTCATTGCACATAAGTTATAATAAAAAACTATTTTGCTATTAAAAATAAAGCCAAAAACTTTCGAATTAAATCGTACACTTACTGTGAAAAGAACATTTTCTTTCATGTTGTCGTAGACTAATAACCCTTGAATGGCGATGGCCGGGTCTATTTTGACCCAGTGTTTTAGACATCATTCAGTTTTTTACGCATTTATGCATAATTCGCATCGAGGTTAATTATTTCAGAGTTGAGAACCAGACTGACGTAACCCGTATAAATATGTTTATAGAAATATGTAAAGAAATTAGTAAATAACAATTTAAATGATTCATGACGTCTCTGCTATCGATACTATAAGAAATGTTCGATTTTTTCAAGGGTCAATGGATAATAAAATAAATTTAACGAGAATTGTACAACCGAAGCAAGATTGATTCCACATATTTCGAGGTGCCGTTTAAACATTCAAATCATTAAATTTTCACGCAACTAAAATTTTGAACGGTTGAGATCGTGGCAAATGGCAATTCGATTAATATATGAAACATATAAAATATATGAAATATATGCAGCGGTGACTCGTGGGAACTTGCTGCGCTGGGGCTGCATCAATAAAATTAAAGTATATACTTCCTACATAATATACAGGTGTTACATGGCACAAGTATATGAATGCAGCACCAACGTTGGGTGTATTTGTTAATTATTATCTTCCCCGCTCTAGACTATAATAAAACAAAAACTTTCATTTTTATTCTGGAGGGGTTGCAGCCCTCCAGCCCCATACACGCACGCCTCCGAGTATATGAAATATCTGAAATACGTGAAATACGTGAAATACGTGAAATAGGGTAACTCAGGAAGAGATGGCTCATTCTTTTGTAAAAGAATTGTTACATAATGATTCTTATTGTTACCAGTTACTAAGAAAAGGAATACAGTTACAAAAGCAAATACGTATAAGACAAACAATTAACATGTTCGCGGACAGCAAGAATTTTAATGAGCTGCAAAAATACAGAAAATGCAAATGCAGTACTCCGGGGACTAAAGAGGAGAATAATTCGAAAAAGTTAATGGTATATAGAATTAAATGTATTATAATGTGACTTATTATAGCATTCATGTCATTTTGCATCACAATGAAAATGAATGCTACAGCATTCGCGTTGACGAACATGTCAACCAGCCTTCTGTGTAAGAATCAGTGTATTATCAGAAACAGTTAAGGATATAGACATTTGACGGTCTAAATGAGATTAGATCATCTTACCCGGTATTATCCTATGTGAAACATATAAAACGTGTAAAACATATAAAACATGTAATATATATGTAGCATATGAAACATATGAAACGCGTAATACATATGCAACATATGAAACATGTAAAACATGTAAGACATATGAAACATATAAAGCATATAAAGCATATAAAGCATATAAAAGATATAAAACATACAAAACATACAAAACATGCAAAACATAAAAAACATGCAAAACATATAAAACATATAAAACATAAAAAAAACTTGTAATACATATGAAACATATAAAGCATATAAAACATATGAAACATATGATACATATAAAACATATAATACATATGAAACATATAAAGCATATAAAACATATAAAACATAATAAAAACATGTAATACATATGAAACATACGAAACATATAAAACATGTAAGACACATAAAACATATAAAACCTATGAAATATCCGAAAATGAGCAAATCAGCAAAAATTCACCAGCTCCCTTAAAATAGCGAAAATTGCCTTTCATCCAGTTTTCCGCTGCAAATACCCACGGCCCCGTGCTCCAGCCAGTTCGCGCGTGCTCCGAAATGTCGGTATACGCTAACGAGCGGCGTTCTGTCAACAGGACACCAATCCGAGGACGACGGTTACATGAGCATGAATGGACGGAAAGCGAAAATGGCCCTGGTAGCGCTGCGTCCGGTTCCAGATTGTCCAGAGCCGCAGGACCCCACGGCCGGGTTGCCCGCGCAGGAATTCCCTCCGCCGCCGGAAGAAGCCGAGAGAATCATTTCCACCTTGTTACCGATGTGAGTCTCGCCCCCTAATCGAGAATCCCCGTCTGCCCCGTTTCCACTCTCACGATACGCGATCTTCCTGCGACAGGGTGTCGCCGGGTAACTCCTCGAAGAGGAGCGGCCGCTCGTCGGATCGTCGCAACGGTCGCCAGCAGTGGATGATCGCCATGGAAGATAGTATACGAGAGGGGACCGGTAGCGCGGTTACCACGCAAACCACGCTTGTAAGTATCCGCCGCGATAAGTTCGCCCTTTAGGTTTGTTCCGCGGACCCTGATCAACAAATTAGGACCACCATTAACCCCTTCACTTACAACAAGATATTATATACGTTTTTGAGTAACTATTGATATTAGAATGAAATTTCACTATCAATGTAATTCAATAAACATTTTTTATTGATTAATTTTTTATTAATAATCTGTTATCAATTATTATGTTCTAGGGCAAACATAGACGTAGAATATGCATAGAATTTTTATCTTTTTTCAACAAATTATTATTGACAAAGTTGTATCGATCACAGTTGAAAAATGAATCATAGGGCAAGGATTTAAGGGCCACTCTAAAATTTTCAAAAAAACGATTTTTTTTTATTAAATGATGAAAATGTTTTAAGTCAGGGAAAATCGGGAACACGATTTTTTCCGAGGTGGAGTGCAACTTGCGCGCTGTAGGTCTGTTTATTGTAACTCGTAGGAACGCACACGATAATTAGCTATTTACAATGTATTCGTTATAACGCTCCACGTAATGAAACGTGATTTTTATTCCCAACTTTCTCATTTTTAATTTTCTCTTCAAAACGTTTTATTATCCATTTCCGAAGTGTCAGAGCTTCTTGCGAGCGAAATGGCAACCGAAACTTTAAATGCATTTTTCTCGAAACCACATTTTTTGAACTGGTCAGAAACATAACTCAAAAAGTTTTCAACCACTCGACTTGAAATTTTGTGCAGAGGTTGAAAATAAGATAACTTAGGGAACATCGTGGAGGTTTTTTGATTACTTGACAATTCTTTTTTTTATGAACACTTTAATGCCAAATTTTTCATTTTCTTGACGCTCTTCTTTAAATGTTCGCTAAATTAACAGTTATCAATATTTTTTCACTTCCTTACGATGTTCCCTAGATTTTGCTATATAATATCAGAGAATCTTTTATTTTTTCTTCTAAGACTATCCGGTATAGAAAAACCTTTCCGGCCATGCAGCCCTTCGAAAAAAGGTGTTATTGTTTGCCAGCACCTACAGCCGCCATTTTGGATCCAAAATGTTTAAAAAAGTTCACAAACCTTCCTGAAAATATATGCAATGAAGCTTTTTTGTTCTTGATTCTATACTTTGTATGGTTTTTATTTTAAAAATTCCCATCGTCCTATTTTTCGACCTCTAGACTGGCGTTACCCCTTACTGCCATTTTTGAAATCAGCAATGAACCATTAAGCTGAATCATGCCTGGTCGTTTTCTCATATTAGTTTTTTATCAGTGAGGCTTCATTTCTTTGCTTAACTCTTGGTCATAACGCAAAGACGTAGGAATTAGTATTAAATTACTCTTTATAGACTTTCAATTCTATGATCACCGCGAAAAATGTTAAAAACTATGGTGGCCCTAACTTTTTGATCAGGGACTGTAAGCTGAACTTTACTTTGGGAAGAAGTTTTTTGCGATTATTTCGGAAACTAAAAGAAAGTATCAGTTTTCTTAGAGGAAAAAATTGTTCAAAATGATGAGCTTAATAACATATTTCAAGGTCATCAAAATCGGTGCTGTCTATAATATTGTATGCACATATTTGTTAATTAACTTTGTACACGCATAACCTATAAACTAATGAATTACTAAGCCTAAAATTTGAAATTTCGTCTTTTGTCATCGAGTACTGTCGGTATATTTAAAAGAAGTTTAAAAAAAGTGTCCCGAAGTAAAGTGTAGCCTTATTCTATACCCTTCACCCTTTTCCATACACAGGAACATGTAACTAAACGTAAAACACCGGTATTTCTTGGTTATATCTTCATAACCCACACAGAAACTATAATATTAAAATACTAGCATGACATAATACCAGTATATTTAACCTATATAGCAGTATTATTACGGTAAATATTATCTCGGTCTTTTTTTTTATCTGTGACGAGAACTTTCCTATTGATTACTTTTAAGTTTCCTCCAAAATTTCTCTATTATTTTATCTTTAATAATTTACCAAAAATAAACAATTGGTAATAGAAAAATAACATTCAATTACAACTTACATCTATATAATGGCACTTAACTTCTCTTCGAAATTTTTATCACGACTCCGACACGCCATTGTAAGACAAAAGGATAATCCTTTCAGTGTTGAATACTTTAGTATCCCTAATGTATTGCATAGTTAGCATAAAAAAGTCATGAGAAAATTCTGCAAGTTCTCCAAGAATATTTTATAAATACATAAGTATCTTTATAAGTCGAGATTCTTTAAGTCTGTCGCGTAGGTAGAAGAGGACCCTTTCACTAAAGATGACGCTCAGTACTTACAGCTACTGCTAGACATGTACTTACTTACATGCGGCGCTTACAGCACTGAAAGGGTTAATGCACTTCCATTATTTAGGCTAACCCCTTACACTAGTAGGCTTGAACCCACCGACCATGGGATTTATAACATAACCAACTCTCTAAGTAATTCTTTGGACCTCTCAGGCTTGCTCACCTCGTTTAGATAGAAGCTACTTCCACCCTTAAGGTGATTTATATGGTCACTCGGTATTTCAACGTTAAAGCTCGCTAACATTTATTCATCCTGTCCTTCCTTGTGCAACGTTTCTTAACCCTTTAAGGACGATCGTCTTCATATTGCTGGGCTGTGTCTAAAGGGCTAGAAAACATGGGTTATTCCGATCTTATTTAGATTGACCTACATTTTCATTTGTTTTTAAGGGTATACCGAAATTTACACTGCTCTTCTTATATGTATTTATTTTCATAAATATATTTTGTTTGTTAGTTAAGTATCAATGATACTTACGATGTAACAGTTATGTTATAAGAAGTGAGCTCTTTCCCTAGCTTATGCTATATCTCTAAGTATCTGCAATCGAAGGTTAAAAACAATTCTATCATTCGCAAAAGATCAATCTATAGTCTTAGATTTTCCAATTTTCAAGTATTTAACACATTGAGCGCCGGCGACTTTAGAGACATTTAAAGCCTGAGCGCCGGCTTCATTCGCTTGTATCTGATCAATGAGTAGCCAAAGAAAATATTCAAAACATTATAAATTTTCGTAAAATAGTACAGTTTAATTGCATATTCGTCATATACAATTTAACGGAAATCCAGAAATCCGCATTATTGCGGGGCCGGCGGTCAAGCGATAGACTCAGAATCCCGCGTTTTCACGGGGCCGGCGCTCAATGTGTTAAGAGTAAGACTTTCCATAAGAATTAACCTTCATATAAAACCAGTTTTCGACATTTCAAGAAATCCTCGTCTACCAAGGGCTAACCCTACATCACCTCTCCTTCCTGCACTAAAAGTCTCTCCACTCCCAGTGCAAGAAGCGAACAAAACGTAACCAGAAAATAAACAAAATCCGCTTTCCACGCAGCCAAAAACGCGCCACCAAAGACCATACGGCTGGAAGAACGGTAATCCGGAGCCCGTGAAGCTGACCAGCGGACTAGCGCCCAGTCCGCCGAGCAAATTCGCCAGCCTGCCGTTCGACGGCAAGGTGTCCTTCGGCTGGATCCCACCGAGGACCAATCCGATGGTGTCGGACAGGCACCGCGAGGTGCGTCGTCGCTCTTCGGAAGAGGACGAGGAGGAAGAGGAAGAGGACGACGAAGAAGAAGACGAAGAAGAGGAGGAAGTCGAAGAGGAAGAAGAAGAGGAGGAGGAAGGCCGGTTCAACAGATTGGACAGGGAAGCCAGGAACCATCGCCAGAGCTTCGACGAGAAAGACCGCCCGTCGATCCTGCGCCAGCAGCGGCAGCACGAGATGATGAAGTCCAGCAGCGTGGAGGACCGGCTGCTGATGAACCACGACCGCAGGGTGGACCAGGGGCGCGACAGAAGAAGAAACGACTCTGACTCCAGCGAAGGCCGATTCTCGAGAAACTCGGAGTCCGAGAGGTCGTCCATCCCGCGGTCCAGTTCGGTCAGCGTCGAGAGGTTCTCCATGCGAGCCATCTGCGACTCGTCCGACTTCTCCAGAGCTAACTCCACCTCGAACTCGAACGAGAGATTCCACTCGGACTTCTCGATAGCCGTGGCCAGCGCAGGGTCCAACGACCGTGTCTCCGTGCCAACCTCCGACCCCTTCTCCATCCGCAACCTGGACTTCGTCTCGTTCTCCCTGCCGACTAGGGCCGACTCCAGCGAGAGATTCTCCGCGCCGACCTCGGACAGGTGTTCGGAGGAACGGTACTCCGACATGTTCTCCACTAGGAACTCGGATTTCTCCACGCGCAACTCGACTGACTTTAGAACGCAGTCCGAGGAGGAACGGTTCTCGGATGACTCGCTGGAGGAGGCTCTGCCTCCGCCTCCTCCGCCACCTCCTCTGCCCATAGGCAAGAGACACTCGATCGCTTGGGAAGTGTCGCTGGAGGACGATCCTTTGTACGCGCCGGGTAGCACCAAGGTGATCGGCAGGAGGCGACGCAAGAGCAGCGATATGTCCAGTAAGTTGTTGCGCCTGATGGGTGGACTGTGGTATTGGGAGCATGGTATGGTTTTGTGGGTACTTTAGCGGTCAAACGCGGTGTGGCTAGATCAAGAGTCGTCTCTTACTTTTTTCTATCTCTTTTACGACTCCCTTCCTCGTCAGCAGGCATCCCCCAAGATCCCGCAAACACCTCAGACCTGCCACGTGACGTAGTCTGCGCAACGCAGGCAACACTTATCAGCTATCGGTAAATTACAGTATCATGTGACTGATCCAGTAATACCAAGCAGAGGGTAACTCTTTTTCCCTTGATTCCCTCTATCTGGTTATACTGGTCAAGAGTTTGGAACCACATCGGTTAACACTTAACCAACGTTTATTACTGTAAAAATACCCGTTTCGACTTTGTTGTAGATTGAAATCATTTCTAAATTGTCCACCATAACAATTATCTATTTCTTTATAAATTTATATATTTCTAGCAAGAATCACATGCTAACGAAATTCATAGTTCACCTCCTCTTTCTGTAAACTTAGAAAATACTGCCAGACATTAATGAAAATTCTCTTTGTCCTCTTTTCTCTCTCTCCTAACTACCGACCGGTTAAGTGTTAACCCTTTGAGACACGGAATTTTATAAAATGGAAAGACCCATGTTGTACAGAAACTTTATTTCTTTTCAAATTCAACAAAGTTGGTTTATTTTTATTAATAAAGGAATAACATAATATAGAAACATAAAAAATAATAATAATTCAATTAAGTTTTTTGTTATAGGGTGGGACTCAAATAGTTCCACCGTGCCACATGGGTTCAGGAATGGTAGTTATTAAAACACATCCTTTTCCCAAGGCACAGAGGTACTTTGCATACAGTACAAGACCACGATG